GGAAGGGATCATGCTCAGCGAAATAAGCCAAAAAGAAAAAGAAAAATACCGGATGGTCTCACTCATAGCAGGAATCTAGAAAACTTAAATAAGGGACCAGGAAAACGAATAACTATGAGAAAGTGAAAATCAAAATCAACAAAAAACTACGAACCAGAGACACTTTTAGGGGGGGGGGGTGGGAGGGGAGGGATTGGGGTCAGAATGGGGGGGCTGCAATTGTATGGGGAATATAAAAATAAAATTTATTATTAAAAAAAAATAAAAAATAATAATTTAAGCAAAAAAAAATAAATAAAGTAAGTCTTTAATGCCTTTGTCCAGTTAAAAAAAAAAAAAAAGAAAAAGATGAGCAGGATTCTAGCAGTCAAACCTTATGACCAACCTTGAGTGTGCAATGTACTTCATGTCTCCTGAACAGCATTATTCATAGTTACATATTTATTGATGCCTAATAAATTAGCAATGAATGCATGAATTAATGATTTACAAAGTTTACCAAAGAGTCACAGCACAATAAAATTTCTTCTGCTTTCTCTCTTAAAACTCTCTTAGAGTTTTTAAAACCGCTTAATGTTATTTTCCCTTTCACTCCTTCTCAACAGAAAAAAATCAAGACTCAGTGAACTATCTTTGTATTAACTTCATTTTTTCCTTATACAAGTCACTGTTAATAAAGATAAATTATATGCTGATTTGAGCAGAGTGCCTTAAAAAAAAAAAAAAACTGTGATTCATGAGCTCAAGAGACTATCCAAGTTATGTTGTCTGAGGCAAGGAAATTTTTTTTTTAATGATTTGAAATTTGGGCAATTTCATGCATAGTTACAGCTTATCATTAACACTGTGAAGCCTTCTACCTTGAGCCAAATGGGGAGTCTCCAGAGATGGAGTGGATGGAGAGACAGGGACAGAGAAATCAGGGGCTTATACTCCACAGCCCATACACCCCAGAGGCAAATCTGAACTGCATCACTGATCCAACTGGACAGCCCTGATGATCTCCTAGTTGCCACCTGATAAACAGGTCAAGGAGTTTAAAATACAACATGTTCTGGAGGAAAACTGTCCTCTCAGTGAACAAGGGACAATTTACCACCTAAGATTCACTGGACTGATGTGAAACATGAGATCAAGAATAATAGTTGTTGAATTTGTTACTTGATAATAAAACCCAGAAATTTACATGACTTGACATCCTGTTTTTAAAACAGCAACAAGGAGATGTCTCCATAATGTGTACCAGGTAGGCAGAGATTATTTGATCATGCTTATTTTATGATAGTGTATTTTTTAATTATAATTTTATTATTTTATAGTATATTTAAAACTCAAAATATAGTCATTAAAATATATTTTCCTTACTTCTCATAAAATTCATTGTTAATATAAAATTTTGAACTTGTAATAATCACTGAAACTGTACCTATAGTAGTATAAAACATATACATTGGACATGAAACACTTGGTTTTTGTAAAAAAATTATGTTATGATTTTATTTATATTTTGCAAAATAACACATTAAAAATCACTTCTTATTGAATGCTTGATGAAAACCATTCAATTTTGATTAAGTATGTGGAGTCAGCATCACCCTGCTGAGTGTTATGTCACCTGGTCAGGTACTAACTTCTTGACATTTGGAATGATACTTAACTCTCTATGCATCAGGTTTTTATTCAAAATGTGAACAATAACAGCATCTACTTTTTCAGAATGTAATAACTAAGAAAATTCAGTATGTTTATTAGCAGTGTGGTTTTAATATAATGAATATTGAAAAACAGTTACTATAAAAATATTTTCAAATAACCAGAACTTTCAATGCAGCATATCTATGACAGTTCCTGTTAAAAAAGAATATTGGTAAAGGGAAAATTGCACAGACAATATTAAATCTGCCAACATACCCCAAATTTTTATGGAGAGAGTAAACAAAATTCAGAAAAGAAAATAATCAAACAATGTTATTCAGGGATATGATGCCAATATTATATAAGACTTGATATAGAAATTTAAATTTAATTTTATTTGTATTTCTATAATATGTGTATGCTCATGTACTCAAAAGACCAGATACTGGTATGGATGAGAGTAAAAATAGCTGTAAAAGTTCCATGAGTTCCAATGATTTCTCTCCGGTTTTTGCTGCTTGTTTGCTTCCTTCAGCATAACTTAGTAATTCTGGCAATGTAATACCTTGTTATTTCTTTCCTCTGATAGGTTGGAAAATGTCTACCCCATGACTGCATGAAAAATGAGCAAACTTCAAAATGAAGAAAAGGGATGTCAGCTAAAATTATAATGATAAATGCAATAAGTACGATAATGATCTTGTAATGATGTCTAATAGAACTACAATTGCATCTTTTAAGTAACCCTGCTAAATAGATATTCTCCTCAATCTCAAAACATCTTGTATTTCTTTATTATTCTTGTGTATGTTTTCAAAAAAGGAAAATTAAGCACTGCTAATTCAAATTTTGTTGTATTACCAGAATAATAACAGATACATTGAATTTTCATTCTAAGTCATTCAGTATCAAGGCCTTTTGTCAGTGAGTTCTTCAGTGACCTAAGACGTGATTGCAGAGTCAGTGGGAATCAATTCCAATGACCCATCAGCAGGTGTTTGTAACCACTCACCTGTGGAATCCTTGGACAATTAATTGGAATCAATACAATGAGGAATCAGAGGGCCTATTTTTCCTGAAATGATTTCTTTTCTGTTTCATAAACCTGAAAAAACCAACATGATTCTGTATCCCCTGATGTCTGAATAATCATAGTGGTTGTCAACTCCTTAGGAATGTGTCTTTCCTGGAGTTCCACAGGTAACTCCACAAATATCTGCACTTTCTAGGGTGATATCTGACTTCCCTGCCTGAATTTACCATTGGTCTATAAGCTCTGTATTACTGTTATTATTATACTTAGCAACATTGAACTAAATACTTTTTTTATTTGTTTATTATAAGGGATAGCTTCTAAAAAAATCCTACATGCAGGCAAGGTGACATAAATCTTGAAAATTTTGAGAAGATTTAAGATGGGAAAATAGTAAAAGGTGGATGGAGGAGACAATAAATGAAACCGTAGAAACCAACAGATATATGCAAGACCAGACATGTGCACTGAATTTCAATTTATAAGACACTTTATTTTTTATAAAACATCCCCTATTTCTTGATCCTTTTGATGTTTGAGAGTCCTAAAAGGAAGTGAGCCATAAGGGAGTGTTATCTGCAGGCTGTGCTGTGAGCAGTCACAGTCAGAACTCAGGATTCCAGGAAGGGATTTAGGACTAGAGAGCACCAAGAAGTATAACATAGAAATTACCATTACCATTTGCTCATCTGTTTGGGACTTGTGGGAGATTAGAAGAACTTGGTGTCCTTGAGAAATAATGGGAAATTGTATTCTCTAGGGAGTTAGGCTGAATTTAGTCTTGGAAGTGGAGCTAGTTTCAAACTAATGGCAATGTGGATTTAGGATTATGTGGCAATCTTTAAAATGGACATTTTTTACATAAATGAATGAAACAAAGGTTAGGTGGAAACTACAAAACTTGAGGTCTACCATTCAGGATAGTGCAGGGCAGACTGAACAAATTTGACCTGAAAACAGGTACTGAACAGATGATTAAACTAACTATAATGCTTTAGTCACTGTGTTCAGAATTCAGATATTTAGAATGCATATTTTAAACAGAATATATTATACACATAATATATCATATATTAACTATATATTAGATGCATATCATGTGTTATGAGTTAACAATATTTTATCACAGAATGATGTTCAAAATACTCATATTAGGAATAAAAACATGATTACAATGACAGACCTTCCATTTAATCTATGATAATGTATGAACTTCCAGATAAATTCCTTTACACTTTTTATTTTTCCTCACCTTTGTCAAACTTACAGTTGGGTAAAATTATTAACGTACTCCTAAATCATTAACATATGGAATATAAGAGTTGTTAATATTTGGGGAGATGATAGTAAAATAATGTTACTACAAAATGATACTTATTTCACATTCTAGACTTTATGTGCTCATAAGACCTGCTAAGGTACATTATTTCCTAGCTAGAGGGTGGCCAGTTTGGCTGAAGTGGACCAGGAAGTAAAAACTTAATGACCACTTGCACCTGGGTTACCTGAAAGAAATTCACAAGGGAAATATCAAACACAATGTAAAAAAACCATAATGATTGGAACTGAGAAGGCACTAGGCAAAATTATAGCAAACTAAGGTAAATAGAGATCACCTGAAAAAGAAATTGGAAGCATTTCTGATTAGAAAAGAGCCTTTGTAACCTAGATCTGTTTGAGAAAAGTCTCCTTGTCATGCTTTGTTTTCATGTTAGGATTATCTATATTTTTATCTTACTCTAAAATCTGATCTCTAATAAATCTAACTATGAGCAGGAAGACTAGTGTAGGGATTTTGCATTCTGGAATTTTAGCATATGGGTTGAGATATATTAGCTAAAATAGTTGATAAACCAGCTGAAAACTGGGGATTTATATTTGCCAATTGGTGTGAAATCACTGATTTAATATGTGGCACTCTTCAGGTGGGCCAAAGGATTGAACAGAGTTCTAAACCGAAAAATATTTGTTCATAGATGGAACACAAGGGACAAAATTTCCCATGGTGGAAACACAGTACACTGGTGGAATTCATCCTGATTGGGTTTTCAGATCTTCCCAAACTTCAAGGATTTCTGTTTGGCATATTTTTGATAATCTATCTTGTTATTCTTATGGGAAACAGTCTCATTATCATGATAACTAAAGTTGATCCTTCACTACAGACTCCCATGTTTTTTTTTTTTTTTTCCCCTTAGGAATTTTTCTTTTTTGGAAATATGTTATGTGTCTACAACAGTACCCAGGTTATTAGCAAGACAGAAGTATTTCCTTTATGACCTGTGCTGTTCAAATGTATATCTTTCTGTCCTTGGGAACCACTGAGTGCTTAATGACTTATGACAGGTATGTTACCATCTGTAATCCATTAATGTACCCTGTCATCATGAACAATATACTGTGTATCCAATTGGCAGCTGCCTCCTTGATCATTGGAATTCAGGTAACCATAGGGCTCATATACAAGATTTTCACTTCACCCTTCTCTAAATCTAATGAGTTGAATCACTTTCTCTGTGATGTATCCCCACTTGTTCAGCTTTGTTGTGGAGACACTTTCATGATTGAGACATTGATCTATGTTTTTGCTACTGTAATAATCGCTGTGCCTTTTGGGTTGGTACTTGGATCTTATGGGAAAATAATCTCCACCATCATGAAACTGCCATCAGCAACTGTGAGAGCCAAGGCGTTCTCGACTTGCTCTTCCCATCTCATGGTTGTGACTTTATTCTTTGGATCCGGCATCATTGTGTACATGGAACCCACATCCACTCACTCATCAGGAATGGACAAATACAGTTCCCTTTTATACTCCATCTTCATACCATTGTTTAATTCTATTATATATTGCCCGAGAAACAGGGATGTTACGGCGGCAATGGGAAAATTCCTACAGAAATGGACTGTGCCTTGACTGGAAAACATCCTTGAAATTGTCTTTTATCAGGTTTTAATTTGTTTTTTCTTCACTTCTGCTGAGCATCTGAATTACTCTGCATCAATTATCTCATATTTATCTCTCATAAAATAAGTCAGTTGTAATTTAAAAAAATAAAGTTATCTGAAACTCAATATTTGGTATAGTGATAACTGAAATATCACATGAAATTTTAATAGTTGTTGTTTTAATGAATCTTGTATATTATCTATACATTCTTTATAAAAATTTTGTTCATTTTATATCTCCAGAATCCATATAGAGTCTGTAAATGATGGACATTTGAATGACTAGGAAATAAGGGTGACTAATATCATAGGTTTAAGAATGATGTTTTATCACCTCCTGATCAATACTTATATTATAAACACATAGATAGATGTAAAGGAAGTAAGGATGAGTGCCCAACAAACTGAAGTATAATAAGCTTATTTAAAAAGTTGAAATCCCAACTGTATTTAAGATGGTGCATCAGCTAGTTACCTAATGATGTGCTAAATGGGGCATACTCTCTTAGTTGCAAAAATCAATTTTCCTCTACAGTGCCACCTATAACCCTTTACATTCATGACATTAATTTAAATAACTTCATTATAATTTTGATATATATGTTATTGGTGCACATAAAAAGATGAAATTTGTGGTATCAGAGTAACTTGAGTAACTGAAAAAATGTTTTATGTAAAATGATTAATGTGTTAAATACATGAGTTGGTCACAGTTATTACCTCACACTATTTTCTCATAGTGTATATCAATAATTACCCTTCCCTCCTTTAAAAATTTTAAAAGGTCTTAATGAGTAAAGAATAGCTGAATAATCTTTAAATGAAAAAAAATGGAATGCATGAAGGATACATATGAATGTTGAAGTTGCAATGTTTGATTAAACCCCCTTGGTCATCTTGTTTTCCAACATAATTTTTCTCTCCATGACCCACTTCGGTAGACTCTCATCACTAGTCTTGCCAGTGTCTGGATTTCTCCTCTGGCTTCCAATGAGGTTCCTTCCAATCAAGAACCTTTACCAAATGACATCCTCTCCATCGCTCCTCTCACACTGTGATTAGGATTCACTATAAGGCAGTTTTAATTTTTATACATAGACAATTTCTGAATGTCTTGTTCTGCAACTAAAATTCTAGTTTAAGATGAAATAAATGGAAGAAAAAACTTAAGAAACAAGTGTAATGTGAAAATAATATCCAACTTTCATAAAATACTGTTCTGCCTTTTATCTCTATGGAAGAGCTCATCAGACCTAAGCTAATAGATCATTGAGATATTATTAAATATCATGCTCAGTGAAATAAGCCAGAAAGAAAAAGAAAAATACCGGATGGTCTCACTCATAGCAGGAATCTAGAAAACTTAAATAAGGGACCAGGAAAAAGAATAACTATAAGAAAGAAAATATCAAAATCAACAAATAACTATGAACAAGAGACACTCTATGGGGGGTGGGGGGCAGGAAAAAGAGGGCTTGGAGTAAAAATAAGGGTGTTGTAATTGTATGGGGAATATAAAAATAAAAAAATTTAAATTAAAAAATAAAATAAAATAAATAAAAATTCACTAACATCAAAAAAATATATATTTGGAGGTTTTTATGTTTTCAGCATCATCACCTCTAGAACTGCCTCCTCCCAATGACATCAGTGCTTCTTTTCACACTGGGATATTGAAGCTATGATGACTCTGTCAAGAGAAGAGAGAGAGAGAGCATTGGTTTACAAATACTCATGAATCCAGTCAGTACATGAGCACCAGGATTTTATTGCATTCTTTAAAAATATTACTGATGCTTTGGTATTGGGTGTGGTATAGTAACATGCATCTAAAGAGGTGTGAACCTAACACCTTAGAAATATGGTATGCTGAGCCTCCCCAGTGGCGCAGCAGTTGAGCACTGGGTTGTGAAGCTGCCCACAACCTCTGCAGCACCAGTTCAATCCATGGCCACTGGGCGAGGGTCCCACATGGTGTGCAGACTTCTACTGCCTTGCCCGCTGCTCCCCTCAGCAGTGTATTTCGTCAGTCTGCTGCTCTCCGCTGTGGCTCTGGCGAATTCTCTCACCCTCCCACACTTCTGACTGTACCCAGTGCTTGTATAAATAAATAAATAAATAAATCTTAAAAAAAAGGAAATATCGTATGCTGAGTAATATTCCATCGTGTGTATGTACCACATCTTCTTGATCCAGTCATCTATTTTTGGGCATTTGGGTTGTTTCCATAGCTTAGCTATAAACTCATGCAAATTGTAGCATCATGGATGGAGATGGAAAGGATCTTGCTCAGTGAAATAAGCCAGAAAGAAAAATAAAAATACAGGATGGTCTCACTAATAGCAGGAATTTAGAAAACCTAAATAAGGTACCAGAAAAAAAAACTAATTATAATAAGATAAAAATCAAAATCAACATGTAACTATAAACCAGAGACACACTATGTGGTGGGGGGAGGGGAGAGGGATTAGGGTCAAAAGAAATACAGTGTGCTAAACCAAGGTTGCGGAAGAAAGAGTACAATTTTTTTAAAAATGAGAAAAAAAGTACAATCTTATATTTTGTATTAGTGTCCCATTATTGGAAGTCCAGTTGGGGAGTTTGTGGGAAATAAGAGCAATCATGCCTTCTGTTTTTAATAGCAAATGGTCAATGTGTGTATATGTGTGTGTGTGTGTGTTTGTCTGTTTGTGTAGGAAGTTGGGGGGTAACACTTAAGATCACTTGGAAGGATGTCAATGACAATAGTGCAGTCCCTGATGTGAGAACAGCTAGATTAACTCACTTCCTCCTGGAGGGTTTTTCTATTTTTCCTACCATATGGCTGTGTATCGATCCAGACATAATGTGTGCTCAAGTTAAGTGAGTCATCTAGTCTTATTACTGAAGTCCTATATTGGCAACTATAAAATATGGAAAATGTGTACTCAGAGGAGAAAGTTCAGCATCTCATTAGTTTTGACCAAACACGAGTAAGCAATTCTTTAGTATTAGTAAGCAAAGTAGATTTCATTAACCATTTTGCTGGGGATAAAAGACAAACTTTGTAAGTTCACCCTCTTCAAAACTAATTTATAAATAAACCATTTATTAGTCATTCAGATTCCTTTGTCCTTAAAATACTTAGGTGCTTTGGTCTCTAACTTTCCCCAAGGAAGTGCTCCGATTCCACCATTTCCCCTGAAAGTCAGAAAACTTTAAAATTGTTTCCATTGTACTATTCAAGTGAATGACTCCAGTGTCAGTATTTAAGTCCAAAAGTTGTAGTTTGGACCCTCAGAAGGACTACAAACAACATTAGCAAATTAGTAGCAGAATACATTGTAAAAGGCAGTCAAATATGTATATAAAATATATTATTTTAGGTGAGAAAATCTGCAGTGTGCTTACAGGAAGCAATGAAATTAATGTCTATAAAATTTGATAAATTTTGAGTGTGAAAGTTGACTTTGATGGAACCATTTTAAATAGGATCTGGGCAACCATTGCAGAGAAACCATTTTAGCTGTATTGTTTTAAATAAGAGGAAGACCTGTGGACTGAACCAAGAGCAATAGTTATTAAACCATCAGACAAACTCTTGGCTTCTCTTCTATAGAGACCATTCATATCAGAGGAATTGATGACTGAAGTCTAAACCAGACAGTAAAATCAATGACCAATGATGTATAGCCACAGATAGTTGAAATTTGTTAACATTAATTCCTTTCTTAATCTGCTTAATTCATCTTGCGCTTTTACATACTATATTAAATTCTCAATATTATTGTCTCCTTTTTGGGAGAGAATTTGGGTAGAATACTCAAAGAATGAAATGAAACTCTTAGGAAGATACCAAACTCCTATGTTTCTTGTAAAATTTTTCCTAAGAGTCAAGATATAGAAACAAACCATCATCAAATGATTCAAGAATAAAGAAGATATGGTATATACTATATGCTTTTATCTGAAGAAAACCCACCCATGCATGACAACATGGGTGAACTCACTGAAATAAGCAATATAGGTGAACTCAAAAACTCAGTGAAATAAACCAGATTCAGAAGACAAGTACTCAGTGGCATCACTTATAAGTGTGATCTAACAAAAAGTCAAACACAAATGTGGTTTGTGGGGCTATAGTATGATGTTGGTCAAAGAGCACAAACTTTCTATTAATAGGGGAGTCATTTCCTTTTTGTTTTTAAAGATTTATTTATTTTTATACAAAAACTGTTGTACAAGGCAAAGGTGCCGGAGGGTGAGAGGATTCACCAGAGACAGAGCGGGATGCAGAACAGGCACACTGACTGAAATAGACTGCTGAGGGGAGCATCAGGCAAGGCAGGAGAGGTCTGCCACACCATGTGGGTAACTCCCTGGAGGGCCGGGAATCAGACCCACGCTGCAGAAGCTGTGGACAGCTTCACAGCACTGTGCTCAACCTGCCCGCCACCAGGGAGCCCCTAAGGGGAGTCAGTTCTGGGAATCTGGTGTACAGAATGGTAACTAACCTAGTAAGACTGTATTGTGTGCCTGAACTTTGCTGGCAGAGTATAGCTTATGAATTCACACACAGAAATTAAGAAAGAAAGCTTGTGAGGTGATAAATATGTGAATTAAACTAATTGTGTAGCTCATCTAATTTATTGTCAAGAACTAATGCACGTAGTCCTGCAAGATGCAACTAAGCTGGGAACATATCCCAAAAACAAGGCAGAAATGAAGACATGAGGGAGGATCAAAGCCTGTGGATGCTTCTCAGTCTCTGGCCTGATGCCCAACACATCTCTGGGACCCAGAGAAGGTGAGTCAAGGAAGTTGGAGGAAAAAAATCAATTACTTTACATAAAAGCATTATTCTTGACTAAGAGATTGTTGAATTTCTTTGAGTAAGAAAGGTTTGAAGCCCTGGCAATAAAGAATATTTCAAAGTCTTCCAGGTTCAGTTCAGTATAATTAAATGATTGATTGAGGCAAGACACTGTG